GGGGGGGGTGATTTCTTGCTTTCTGTCTCTCTGGTGAGTGCACGCACCCTATAGCAAAATAAATAAATAAATAAATAAATAATAATAAAATTAATCATTTTTTTAAAGTAAGAGTTTTTCAGTGAAAAATGTTCTAAATCCATGCCGTTTTTCCAATAATATGCATTTCCATGAACTTTTTGAAGAACCCTCCCTGGTATTTTTTTTAAAGGTCTTGTGAAACCACTTGAGGGCCAGCCACAGTGGCACAGTAATAATGCAATGCTCTGCGATGTGGAAGTTACATAGGAGGGTTCCAGGTCTGCGTCCCAACATATCCCTATATACACCAGGAGCGTACACCTGTCCCTATGTTCCTGGCTGGCTGAGGCAGGAAGAAAATCATAGTATGAAGATCCCATTGGTGGTGCTTGTCCCTCTCTCCCACTTTCTGTGTGTATGTGTGTGTGTGTGTGAGTGTGAGTGTGTGTGTGTGTGTGTGTGTGTGCCATGGAAGAAATAAACTTTTTAAAAAAATAAATTCACCACTTAGGCATGTAGAGTGTTTCTGGGACATGGATAATAATATTCTATTCCTTTACCTGAGTGGTGGTTACACAGGTATGTTTACTTTGTGATAATGTGTCAAATCGTGCATTTGTATATGTATGCTATGCTTCAATAAAAAGTTTTCTAAGGAAAAATAAATGTGAGCTTTTATTCTTCAGTCTCTTACAGACTCAGATCTTCACACCCAATAATGTCAAGTCACAAATCCTACCTTGTTCCCAGAAGAATCTTTTCCCTTCCCTTCTTCCTCTACATGAAAGCGGAGATTCTCCAATAGGATGACAGACCCAGCAGGTGGGTCAGCACAGGCTTTCTCCACCTCTGGGCCCACACAGTCCTTCAAGAACAGAACATCCCTGGGGAGAGCAAGAGATGAAGACACTGACCAGTCTGAAAATTAAGAACCAGTAACTTCATGCTTAAAAATCTCTCCTGCCAGAGTTTACCCACACCAGAGCCTGGCACTTACTTGCCCAGCAGAGATTTGAGTTCTACAGCAACTGGCTCCAAGGAATACTTGTCAGGCATGGGGACACCATCAGGCCGGCCCAGGTGGCTCATAAGGACAACTGACTTGGCTCCATTGTCCAAGCAAAATTTGATGCTTGGGACTGCAGCCTTGATCCTGCAACCAAAAGAAACAGCAGACAACACAAGGTTACTCCTAGGAGTTAGTGGGAACTAATTTTTTACAGTCTCATAAAACCCCCTTCCTATCTGTTGGCAACCCAAAGGTGGTCCTCAGGTTCATGTTCAAAGAAAAATTAAATAGGATGACAACTCTACCTAACTGTAAAGTCTCATCTGATATTTGCTCCTTGGACAGAAAAGAGCTAACATGGCAAGACTAAAATGGCTATCTATATAAGGACCTGCTTTCAAGGTTGGCCCTGGTTTGCTGCCCAAGAACTTGGCTTTCAAAGTGGTCTCTCAGTTCTCTGACAAGGGCTAAGAGCTGTTCACTGTTTCTGCAGTCTGTACAAACAACGTGATTTATGCTGAGCACCTGCTCTCCTCTAGAAGTCCAGAATTTTTTGGTAGTAGCTAGACAGAGGGATCCACATGACCAGATACTACTATCTCAGGAGCTGAGTCTCTAATGGGCTTCTCTGGGAAGAAACACTGCATGAAATTACAGCATTTATCACAGCTAAAGAAGGAGCAATCAATGTGTTCCCTCATGGAACATGGGAAGCCCACACATGGATCTTTCCAGACTCCTATGTCTTTGCCCTTTGCTGATCCTATCATGTATCCTTTCACTGTAGTAAACTTTAGCCATGAAAACAACTAGAGGCCAAATCCTGTGAGTTCTATCAAATCACTGTGGGATATATGTGTGATACTGGGGACCTCTGAAACACCCCTCTTAAGTGGCTATGAAAGATATATTAGGCACCAGCAGTTAGAGTAATGGCTATGTTGCTGAACTCCCATGTAGTCGACCACAGTTCGAGTCTCAGACCCAGTGGCTTAAACTCACACCGGGCACATGTACGTGCATGCCCAAGATCCTGAGAAAAGAAGAGAGGAGAAGCGATTGCGGCATGCCCATCCCCCTGGGGGGTGATTTCTCGCTTTCTGTCTCTCTGTCTCTCTCTTTCTGGCAAACACATGTGCCCTATAGCAAAAAACTCTCAAAAACTAAAATTAAAAAATTGTAAAAAATAAAAAAGAAAGATATATTAAATTATGAAATCTTGAAACAATTGAAGGAATTCTAGGAACAAATGAAAGATAGGTAATAACTTTTATGCATCTACTCTAGATCCTAAGTCACTTTTTTTATGTAGGAAGAAACACATTACATAAATTTGGTTTCCATAATTCGTCACATTTATTACATTTTAGTTTAATCAAAAGATAATTAAAGGGCCAGCAGGTGAAATGGTGGTTAAGGCACTGGAGTCCCACATGGCCAACTGCAGTTCAATCTCGGGACCTGTCGACTTGAAAATCATGCCAGTTGCATGTGCTCACATGCCCAAAATCCCAAGAGGAAAATGGAGGAGAAGGGATTGCAGTGGGAGCATACCTGCTCAAGGATGATTTCTCGCTTTCCCTCTCTGTCTCTCTCCAGTGAGCACATGCACCCTATGGCAAAAAAAAAAAAAATTTACAAAAAGATAAACTCCCTTTAAAACATTCAAAAGTTTTATTACAAACTTTCTACTTTCAATTTTTGTCAGTTTATAAGAAAATTGGTAACAAAGAAAAGCACTTATATTTATTGCATATTCCCTTTATGCCAAATACTACCCAAAGTTCTGAGAATATAACAGTAACTTGTAAAATAATCCCTACTCTCACAGATGTAAAAAATCTTAATGAGGAAAAAAGACAAATATATATGAGGGGTCTTCAAGAATTTCATGAAAAATATATACTATGAAAAACTATACAAGGGTCTCAAATTTTTCACACTAAAATGAACTCACGCTTTTAACTCCATTTTCCACGAACTTTCTGAAGTACCATGACACCATGCATGAGAGAGAGAGTGTGTGTGTGTATGCACTGTATCAGATGGTGATATGAGACATAGGAAATATAAAGCAAAGTAAAGGGACAAGAATGATGGAAGAATGATGATGGAAGGGATTTTACATTGGCTGACAGGGAAAGTCTGATAAGGTGAAATTTGAGTGAAGAATGGAATAATAAAAAAAGCTATGTTTCTAAAGTATCGTATGCTACTTAATGGCTATAAAAACTCATTCATATCAAATAAAGAAACCTGTATCAGGCACAAAGTTTGTCTAATTAAGCCAATTAATTATCAAGACTATCCCTTATCTGCAAGTTTTATTATTTCTAATGCTGCATTTTGTCAATCAACAGCATGGATTTCTGAAAATATAAACATTTACCCAAATGTTTCTCTTCTCTTTATTCATAACATACCTCGGTAGGTATATTTTCCATGTTTTCTGCATATTGCAAAATAATGAAAATCAGGAGGGGTCACAGCTGCCTTGTACAAAGACCCTGCCATTATGGTATAGCAGGGATTGTACTTGGCAAAATGTCAGGCTCTCAGCTCAGCCATAGTGGTGCAAGCAATAGAGTTCCATTGCACAGTACTGCAGCCATATTGGAAACTGAGTTTAAATACCAGGCAGACCTGAACACACCAGGCATGCCCATGATCCTGATTGGCTAGAAGACTGGGGAGGGAGAGGAGGACCACAATATGGTGAGAGCCTGTCAGGGTATCTGTTGCTGTCTTTCTGTCTCTCTCATGCTCTCAAAATAAGAAAATACATTAACTTTTTAAAATGGCAAGTTGCATTCTGAGACCAACACTTGAAAATGTTCTGGAAGACTGCACCATCTAATATAGTAGCCATTAGCCATGTGTGCCTACTAAGTACTAGAAATCTGACTAGTCCTAACTCAGATGTGCTGTAAGTGTAAAAATACATGCTGGCTCTTAAAGGCTTAGTACACAAAAAAGTTAAACATCCCTCTAATTAAACTTTATATTGATCACATCTCAAAATGATTACTTTAAACTTATCAGGTTGGCTGGGACCAGCAGTTAGCGTAATGGCTATGTCGCTGGACTCCCACGTAGTCGACCACGGTTCACGTCCCAGACCCAGGCTTAAAACTCACACCGGGTGTGTGTGCGTGCGTGCCCAAGATCCCGAGAGGAGAATGGAGGAGAAGGGATTGCCGCGTGGCCATGCCCCCAGAGGGCGATTTCTCACTTTCTGTCTCTCTGTCTCACTCTGTCTGTCTGGCGAGCGCACGCACCCTATAGCAAAAACCTCTCCAAAAAAAAAAAAACTTATCAGATTAAATTAAATATGGTTCACATTATACAGTCATGTGCCACATAACATTTAAGTCAGCTAAGGACCACATGTACAAGAGTCTATAAGATTAGAATGGAGCTCAAAACTCCTGCCACTTATTGACACAGTAATCACTGTGACATCATAGCACAACATGTTGTAATGCTGGTATAAACAAACCTACTGTGCTGCCAGTCATATAAAAGTTTGCTATAGCACACATAATTATGTACAGTACATAATGCCTGATAATATTAGGTCACTGAGAAAGTCATGACATATTTTTCTATGTTTTTCTATGCAAAAATGCATCATGACTTTCCCAACCACCAATAAATAACTATGTTCCTGGCTTATTCCTTCTACAGTACTTTAAAAAAAAAAAAAAACAAGGGTTTACTCAGCTGGCTCCAGGGCACAGTGGTAATGTGCTACTCAAGAGAAGCCAAATCCCACATGGTAACTGTGGTTTGAACCTCCAGCCCAGTCAACCTGAAAAACATGCCAGGCACATGTGTGAATGCCTAGGATCTGATGGTCTGGAGGACTGGAGGAAGGAGACTGTGGGGTAACCAGGCCATGGGGAGGGTGCTCCTCTTTCTCTCTCTCTGTCTCTGTCTCTGTCTCTCTCTCTCTCTTT